GACTTAATTCATAAATCTAAATACATTTTACTCTGTAAAATGTTATGTTATTGTGAGATTATTGTGAATATTATTATGGAAACCTGATATGCTAGGGAAAAAATGAGGATAGGTTCAGAATCAGCCCCCCCCCCCCAAAAAAATGTATCTAGAAAAATTTTTTGCATCTCTGATTTAAAAAAAAAAAATTAAACATTGGTTGACGAGTCTAATTGGTGGTGCATTTACCACTTAGGAAATACTACAGTACAGTAGTAGTCGTTTGTCAAGTACAAATCAAACCTGAATGCTGGTCAACCCCTAAACCCCCTCCCCATATTTTGGTTGGATTCCAAATTGTATTACAGTTGCAGTGCCCGGAATTTGACCTTTCCCTGCAGCCGGATTTTCTACAATGCATTCCATTTAGTGGAACCACTAAGGTCAAACATCATCCAGTCCAGTTGGTCGGTCAACCTTCCACTTGTTTGCCCAACGTCTGCTGGATTTGGCCCCACGCATGTCCTTAACGAGGACAAGCGACATTAAAAATGGCTGGAAAATTCCATCGCGAATATAGACATTATTAACTGTTATAAAATGTTTTTAGCTTTCTTAATTTTCATTCAAGTTTAAAAACACACAAATTAATCACGGTAATGCTGAAATGTTGTAACTTGACAGAAGTGTCTCATCACAGATGCACCTCGCTTATATTGTTTTTTGAACGTTTTTTTTTTCTTAATTTATCCCTGAAAAAAAATGTCCAGTGCAAATCGTAAAAGTAGTAACTTGAGATATGAGTTTCATTTGTTCTGTTACCATGCTTGTAACGCAAAACAATTCTTTCCCCCATGAAAATGAATGGAAATGACTTAAGGCAACTTATTGCCATAACTGTTTTCCCCAGCCCTACTGCTGTGTATTAACAACACACATTGGACAGAGAAAAAAAACATTGTCATTTTTAGGATGGGATCGGGTAAAGCTCACCCTGCCTCTAAATGCAAATCTGCATGGGGGGATTACTAGTCAGTTCTTACCTCCTCCATGGCTGTGATGTCCCTTTTGTCACTCATATATCACAGTTTTATTCATATCATAGCTGTTTTTCTGCCCAGAATCTTCTGCAGAGGGTTGTCCAAATCTTTTCTAATTTTGTTATTTTTGCAGACCCGTGCAAGCTGGCATATGTAAAATGTGCATTTTGCGCAGTTGTGGGTGTGAGCACAGCCGACTTGCAGTCCGCTTTCCACCCCGATCTTTTGTGTGTGTGTGTGTGTGTATGTATGTATGTGTATATATATATATAGAGAGAGAGAGAGAGAGAGAGAGAGAGAGAGAGAGAGAGAGAGAGATATGATAACAAATTTCTGCACTGATTCAGATGGTCTGAGGCATGCTGTTGTCATATTTCTGTAGAGTGCGGAGTCTGTTTATCTATGCACCGTTCAAAATCACCAAAATCACATTACACTGCCGGTGCCAAAACAGTGCCATGATTCCAGTAAGAATAAAGTTATAAAGTTAAAGGGACTTTCTGCCACCAAAATATCAGAAAATGCCCTCGGTGCACCGGGATGCCCAACCAGCATGGCACAGAGAGATAAAAATTCCCCAACAGGCACATCGAAGCTTGTGCCTGCACGAAAATCAGGACTTGCCAGGATATCCATATGCGCTGTCTGTTGAAAATAGAGCCCAAAATGATCACCTCTGATATGTAAATACAGTAACATGAGATCTCAACATGGGGCAAAAAGTGTCCCCCTTTGACATATTTATGTCATCTTTGTAAAGACTGAAAGAGCTGATAAAAGGCTGGATGATCGTCTACCAGTTATATACTCAAATTTGACCATATTCATGTCATAAGGTTCATTTCACTGTACACATAACTAGTTACACAAATAGTCTGAACGGTGAAATCCGCTGGGCTCCCAGCAAGTAGGCCAACATTTTCTATTTATAGTCGTCTGGAGCTTTTTTAAGGTCTGAAAATGATGGAGCCAATCTGCTCTGTTATAACTAGAATCATCAAACTACAGTAACCGTGGCTTTTGATTGGAGGCCAGATGTCTGCACATATAAACACAGCGGACTGCCCCGAGGGAAGCCAGCCTTCTTTCTCTGCCGTCCATTCACTTGTGAGAGAGCCCTCAATCATGCAAAAACAAAAAAAACCTTGCAGTATTATTGTTATCTTTCAGCTTGAATCCACAAAAAAGACTCCACATGAAATATGAGGATTACCAATGGGCACCTCCATACATAATTGGGAAAAGTGATTACGGATCGATTAATTAATTGTTCATTTTGATATACAGTATTATTATAGTATTAGTGAGCTTGCTATATACCGATCAGAATAAATTTCTCCAGATTCGTAGCATCGTGGAGGTTTGCGTGGCCCAATTTCCCATCACTGATGTCACGCAGTTACTTCTTCGACAGCAAACCGCTTGAGTGAACCAACAGCGCCTCTCCAAGTTGAAAGAAGTTCATCATTGTCCACTATTCCTGAAAACGACATCATTTTTGGGGGGGAGCACTTTTCTTTTTGAGTTAGTATAAGTTTGAATTGAAGAAAATCACTTTGAGGTTTTTGAAAAGTATTCTCAGCTTTTACACTTGGCTGTCAAAAATTGCCTTCGTTATTCCGCATCCTAGTTCAGTGAAAAATCAGAATGCCCTTGTGCCGTTTTAAAACCCCCTTGAGGTAAGCAGCAGGTCAGGGTGTGTCATGTGGCGAGTATTAAGGCTCCACAAAATTCCTGCAAACCCCTGAATGAAATATTTATAGCTGCTTCACTAATCCAGATCAGACGGCACCGTTGTTTTTCCAGAGGCATTCATTTCTAGGATGCTTTTTTTCCACCTCTCTGTTTTTTCCTCTGGGGTCATTTGCGAGGCTTGATCAGGAAGTGATTGCAGAGAGGCTGAATGACATAAAAAGAGCCTGAAGGGAAATCATGCTGATTCCTCCTGTGGAAAGTGAACTTGAGACGTCAGCAACTTGTTTTGAGTTGATTTCCATCGCCCTGCTGAGTCCTATTTTTAGATGAATCGCTTCCAAGGCATCGATCCTGCCATGATTCCTCCATGTGGCACTTGGCCATCCGTGCTTTCCTAGCCCGCTTGATCAGCCGCAAACCTGCTAGGCAACGCTCCTGACCTTTGGAGGGAATTAAATCAGGGACAGAGCAAAGCTTTTTCAGTGAGTCCAGCAAGAGCAAGCAGACCTTTTCTCTCTTTTTTTTTTTTTTTTTGCGCTCAATTTTTTTTTTTTTTTTTTTGTCAGACAGCACTTTAAACTTTAGTCATCACCAGTTTAGGATGGGGACTTCCTCCTCTCCAATTTTATCCGCCTTGTAAATGATTGATGACATATTTGCCTCGTTTGTTTTCCCACCATTCAGGAATCTCCTTTTCGTTGCGTTCTCACCATGGCGTTCAAGCTTCTTTTGTGAGTCACATGCTAATTCTTTACCCACATCGGACCTTGTTTGACATTTCAGTTCTTGACTTTGTTCGGTGAGGCGAGCTGTGTGTGTATTTGTGCAGCTTATCCAATGTGTTGGGAGATTCTGGTGAGTGGATGCTGTGGGCGGATGGCTCAGTCCCGAGTTCCAGCCTAAAATACATCTCAGGCTATATAGTTTTTATAGGCCAATGAGAAAATGCAAAATTATTTCGGGCCCATCGACTACCGGGAGTCAAAGTTTCACTTTTAGCCTGACATACTTTGGGGAAGACAGCTTGTAGTGGATCACCATTTATTATTAATGATGACAATGCAAATACAGGCTGTGCAGTGGGAGGCAATTAGTAAGGATGCTGCCCAACATTCAAACATATATGATTCAGACATTATGGTTGGGTTTGCTGGAGGTCAATATGTGCTGTGAGGAACTGGAACAACAAACAATTCATTGGAATAGGCCATCTTTGCTGTTTACTTTTGCCTCAGGTCGGAACTGAGACAATCTGAGTGGGATCATTCCGATTTCCCACGTTCCCCAAATGCAGCATGAGACCCACTGTAAGTGCAACCAAGCCATGTCTGTCATCTAGTGGTGAATGGTGATGTTACAACTTAAAACTACAGTCAACCCCCACAATCACAGTTCGGCACCCTCAGATTTACATTCATCGTTTTTGTTTCCTTATTTTTTTTTTTTCAAAATTTTTTTCATATGTTGGATTTTTCCTGGGGTTTTTCCCCCCAGTATTTTTTCTCATTTACTTAGTTTTTTCGAGGAAATGTATATTGAATGTTTATCAGCGGGCGGCCCAGTGGTCCAGTGGTTAGTGCGTCGACCTCACAGTGCAGAGGTCATGGGTTAGATCCCGGCACCAGCCTCCCTGTGTGGAGTTTGCAGGTTCTCCCATGCCTGCGTGGGTTTTCTCCGGGTACTCCAGTTTCCTCCCACATTCCAAAAACATGTGTGGCAAGCTGATTGAACACTCTAAATTGTCCCTAGGTCTGAGTCTTAACGTGGATGGTTGTTCGTCTCTGTGTGCCCTGCAATTGTCTGGCAACCGGTTCAGGGTGTCCCCCGCCTACTGCCCGAAGACGGCTGGCATAGGCTCCAGCACGCCCCACGACCCTTGTGAGGATAAAACGGTTCAGAAAATGGATGGATGGATGTTCAGCGGGGGGGTTCAATTAAGTTGGGGCGTTTGTAAAAACAAAATAACAATAATAAACATTTTTAAAAAGTTTTTCATTGCTGTGAATGTGGGCGTGAATGAGAGTTTGTCCAAAAGTGCCTTGTGATTAACTAGCAACCAGTCCATAGTTTACCCGGTCTTTTACCCTAAGGGAGTTAGTTGGGCAAGGCTAGAGTTAACCCACCACCTTAATGAGGACAAGAGCTATATAAAACGGGATGGATGGAAAATCAAGCACTCGAATGCTCTGCGTCATAGACGTCCACGGTGCGAGGTGTAAAAAGTTGTTTTGACTTTGCTTTCAAAAGCAGACCACATTCCGCCTACCTTGTCTCTTGTCTCCACAGCTTCGCCTCGCCGCGTCTCGCACCTGAGCTCACGCAGCATGTCCGCCCCCGCCAGCAAAGATGTGAAGGAGCTCAACCCTGTCGACTTCATCCAGCTCCAGCAGTACATTGAATGTGAGTACATTTATCGATATTTCAACCCCCTCGCCCCAGGCACACGTACGCTCACCTTCATGTTGCACTTCCACCCACTCACACACTCGCCTGCAGCCTTGGTGTCTGAAATTGAGACAAGCTTTCAGTCTGAATACAGAACCCTACACCAGGCAGGGGTGTTGAATTTGATTTTTTTTTTTTTTGAGTCAAACTTCCACCATTTTAAAACGTTTATGAGCTGAAGGTCCAATCAAAACGAATGGCCATTCGCAAACCTGCTCTGAATAAATGCTTTGACGGCGTCGTGTTATGTGGGAGGAATTAAAATGGACACAAGTGGTCTGTGCATTTGCGTCATGCATACATTTAGTTCTCTAATAAACAGAAAAAGCGATCAGAAAGCTGCACGTGTTTAAAAACAATTGTGCAAGTTTGCTGTTAAATTGGAAGCGCTAGTTCAGTTAACATGCCGCAGGGCGGCCTTCTCACGAACTGGGCTTCAGATGCTCACTGAAATTAAGTCTCACAAGATTGGCTAGTCACGTGTGACCTAATGTACGATGGCCAATCAAACGTTGTGCCACTTCAAGACAGATTTTCAAAAGAAAAAATTTGCATTAAACCCCGAATTGTACATTTCATGCACCCTGTAACCTATAACATGATAAGCTGTCCACTGTAGTAACTGCCGTCCATGAAAGGGTTAAATAAAGCATTTCATATTGAATTATCATTTTAAATACAATACATTTTAATGTGACAGCGCTTTTTGAAGTACTTGAATGCACTTTAGAAAATCGAGTATAGCCCTTAATCACAAAAGCCTTAAAACAACTAAAGAAAAGGGTGACAGGCAATAAAAAGCACATTCTAATTCAGTGTTCTCATTATTTTGAATGGCTCTCGATTATGTAACGTTAATTCACTTTTTTGTAGTTTCATATAGTCACTGATGGTGTAGTGGTACACTCGCCTGACTTGCGTGTCGGGCAGCGTGGGATCGGTTCCCACTCAGTGACGGTGTGGATGTGGGCGTGAATGGTCGTTATGTGCTCTACGACTGACTGGCGACCAGTTCAGAGTGTAGTCTGCCTTCCGCCCAAACTCAGCTGGGATCGACGCCGGCAACTCCCGGCGTCCCTCTTCAGAATAAGCGGTGCTGAAAATGGATGGATGGGCGGATGATTTCATATAATAGAAATCTTGCAATGAAGACACCTTTGTATGTTCTAAAATCGTGAAATGAATTTATTCCTTCGATGAACTCATTCACTCCCAAAGACGTTTTTAAACGTCTTTTCAGACTTGGTCCAGAATTGGCTAGTACAGAAAATGAGTTAACTGACTGTTCATTTTCAGTTGATTCATGAGGAAAATTCTCAACCCCTACCACACTCAGAACTTGTCATATGTTGCCGTCACGTGATAGGCCTCAAATATCTGCCCTTGCCTTTGCCCCTCATTGTGTGACCTCTTCCAGATTGCAGCCTGAAGGTGAAAGACGTGCTGCGGGAATTCGATGCAGATGGCCGCCTGTCCCGGCACAGGCATGGAGAGGTGAGAGCACGGCACAACACGGGATGGGAAGAGACGGGACGACGTGTCCTCCTCATTTTCAAAGCTGCTCAAGTTCTGACACGTGATGACTCGGAGCATGCAGAAAAGAAGCGTGTGATTCATTCTTACGTGGGCACGTATTAACAGCCTGAAAACCGGCTAATGAGATTCAAAGCCGCCGATGGTGTTGACTGAGCACTCTTGTGAGAGGCGGCGCCGTTCTACCGAGATTGCAAATGTAAATGACGTCCTCGCCCGGGCCCACACAAGCGTAGCCTTGCCGACTGCTTTCAGAAGTTTGAATCCATTTATGCAGCAAGGTAACGTAGTCATTTCTGATGGCCTATTACGGGGGGCATTTCAAATTCGTTTTCCTCATAAAAACCGAAAGAATGAATCCCTGGCAGCGTGGCGACCTTGTGGTGGACACGACTGCCTGAAATATTTGCGGTTATAGGAAGTGTTTTCGAATATGGACGGATGGATAAAAGGGAGGGTAGCACCAAGGATGATACAGCATGGCGATAACACAAGGATTCCAGTTAAATGTCTTAGTGGGGTTGCAGTGAGTGAATTATTTATTAGTGGGGCAGCACTGCAGGGCATCGGCGTCAGCAAGAAATGGGTTTGTGGTTCAGCATTATCGAGGGAGTTCAGTTTAAGCCCTCCAGCATCCAATCATGAAATTCACTCCTACCAGGCCAGAGAGCGCACTGAACTTCTGTACTGACTTCTGCTTTCTTGCAGTAGAGGGCTTGAGTGCCGAAATACAAGCGGGAGTGGCGACGGATAACACTCAGTGGGATGCGTGCCGGAGTGCTGCATTGGAAGCAATCACATTCTTTACACAACCTATTTCTTGCTCTGCGAAATAAAATGAGCTGGTTTGAGAAGGCAGCCCAGACTCATGCACGGCACATGGCCTGGACACGTCACGAAACGCAAACACCACTGGCGCCGTCAACATATTAACCAAGCAATCAATCATATGTGCCGCTGATCATCTGTTAGCTAACGCTAATCCGTGCAGCCAACGAGACACATTGGAGCTCCTGCTCACCTTTTGACTTTGATACAGTTATGATTGCAGAGGCATCACGCCCATGCGCGATCGTGTTTCAGACAGCCTAGTCCGGCGGCCGTCTACAGCCATCACTCGAAGGTGGATTTTCGCTCAGCTTCACTCATTATTTCCATACCTGTCAACCTCGGCTAATAGCTGCCCTTATAAATGATTACGATTCCCCTTACAAAGCAACAAAAAACCTTACAACGGCTTACCGCGCATGTGCACGTCATGCTTTATCAATCCTACCGTACGCAGCGATAAAAAAAATATATATATATATATACGATTGAGGATTACTTTTGCTGGTTTGCCGTGACAATAGTAGCGATCGACGACGGCATTGTCGTTGGCTACCAGCAGGTGAGACGATCTGGATTTGAGCCAAAATGGTCTTTGTGAGATCGGTTCACAATTGTTTTTTTTTTCCGTATAAAAGTTGTAGTACACCGTACATGATTTGAAATGATAAAAAAACGTATAAAATACAGGGAAAACGTACAAGTTCACAGGTATGTATTTCATATGTCAGGCATAGTGAGGCGCGCTTATTTGCGTCAGTTAGTGCCGATGTTACGTAGTACGCAAGTACAGAGCAGCTTGCTGTCAAACAAATTGTCAGAAATAAGCATAAATAACTGACGTCTGTTGTAATTGCCATGAAAAAAAGGTGGCAACGACAAAAAAAAAGCATTTACAGATTTTAAAGAGACCCAACAATTTGCATACAAACATTATAAAAGTAATAAAAATGATAACATAATTGATCATTCTTGAAATTTCTTTTAATATCCGCTTTGAAAAAGACGTGCATTATACAGTGTAATTTTCCGTTCTAATGAAGCTCTGAAACGCCTCACACGCCTTTCATTCAAAGTTTTATCCGTTCCAGTGCATCAATGAAGAAGGCTTCCGTCTCTTCTTGAAGACTTATTTGGAAGTGGACGACTTCCCATCAGATCTATGCCAGCGACTCTTCCGCTCTTTCCAGAACTCCGAAACTGCCCAGGAAGACAGCAGCAGTAAGAACACAGACACACACACACACACACACACACACACACACACACACACACACACACACACACACACACACACACACACGCACACACACGGATCGGCATGCTTGCGGCCGATGACAGTCTTATATCAATGTCAGACCACAATGAGAATTTTTGGCTATTCCAGGATATTGAAAAAAATAATCACAGAGTAACCCATAGCGCAATGTCACCAAAATAGTTTGCACACGTTGATGATAGTATACGTATATTGATGCTGCCCTTTGAAAAACATGTCCATTATTGTCATTTTCGTTATTTTATTACGTTAATGGAATGTCGCGGACACCCCTTTTGTTGTTGTCTTTTTTCAGGTAAATAGTCAATGGCGAAGGAAAAACTAATAATAATCAAACATAATACAGTATAAGTTTTCTCGGGGTTTCTGTTAATAATCAGTGTTGGTGTTCTGGTCCATTCTTCTGACTTCCGTGCAAGCAGCTTAGTTTGTGTAACATGTGTGCAATGCTCGAAATAAAGTTTTTCCTTCGAGGAGGAATTTTGCTGGTCAATGACTTAATTTGAGGAGCAGCTGTTTAATTTAACGGAGCCACTTTTTCAAGGTTAATCCCACAGATCTGAACTAAATATTTTAGTAAACAAAACAAACCAAAAAAAAAAAAAAAGCACAACAATATAATGGGGGAGTTTAATGTTGGGCTGTAGCTATCAACTGTTTCAGTATTTGAGTATCCAACTGAAAATTCAATATACTAATTCAGGGTTTCAGATAGAATATAGTTTTACATACCGGTAATACATCTCACTTAGTAACAAACAAGCAATGGGTTTCCTTTTTTTTTTTTCATAATCAAACCTTTTTATTCATTCAATTCACATTGTGAATCGCATTTTATTGTCGAGAAGCATTTTCAGTGGGGGCGGGGGAGCAAACAGTACAATCCATGTTGCTGCAATTGACCAGGGGTGTATTCGCCTTTTGCCCTGAATCATCTGAGATCGTTTCCAGCTCACCCACGGGCCTTATGAGGGCAAGAGCTTTTAAAAAAATGGATTGATGGACAATATATGTTGTTCGACTGGCCTCTCTTTACAGAGGAGGTCTTTCTCAAGGATGTTTCGTGTTACTTCTCTCTCTTGGAGGACGGTCAGCCTCGGGACAAGCTGGAATGTAAGTCCTTTTCTTGACCCCCCCCCCCTCCCCCTCCAAAATAAATGTCACTGTTTTTTCATTTTGTTTCTTTACCCTCAGTTGCTTTCAAGCTCTACGATAGAGACGGCAATGGCGTTCTGGACAGCTCGGTAAAAACATGCACCCCTGAATATGACAGTTGATCACGTTACATCAGGCAGCACGACTGCTTCTGAAGGCATTGGGCACATTTGATTGAAATGGCAACACAAACGGAATGCAATTTGATTCGGCAAAATGATCTTCCTTTGTACGTCCTCATTAGCTCCTGAAAACAACGCGGCCAAGAGAAACACGACAAAATGAAGGGAATAGACTGTTAGTAACACCGTTATGCAATTGAATAGAACAAATTTGCTTGGAAACGTAGATTAGTGCTTCTGATCGTATTTAATTCCTTTTTTTTTCGTGGCAGGAAGTGGATCGAATTATCGCCCAGATGATGCACGCTGCTGAGTACTTGGGATGGGACGTGTCAGAGCTCAGGCCGGTAAGCCCCATGGTGGCCTCGCCGCACTTGAAAGCGCCACGTTTTGTCAACTGACAAGCTTCTCATCTAACAACAACGACAACGACCAACCTGACACCGCTCCTAAAAGCAGAGAAACCTGTTTGGCGTTCAAATGATAACGGAGAGATTCCCGCAGGTTCTCAAGGACATGATGACTGCCATCGATGCTGACAGCAGCGGTACTGTTTCTCTGGAGGAGTGGGTGGAGGGAGGCATGAACAACGTCCCCCTGCTGGTCCTACTCGGCCTGAAGGTGAACGACGTGAACGCTTTTCAGGCTCATGCCAACGCCTTGCTGGCCTTTGCCTCCTATCTCTCATCTCTCTGGCTTTTTTACATACGGTACTCAAGCACTACTAAGTGCGTGAATGTCGTCACCGACGTGTGAGTGCTCTAGCGTGCTTTTTTTTTTTTTAACGTTCGCACACGTGATGGCGTTGACTAAAAGGATTAAAACAGAAGATAATAAATGAGCCTTTGGCTATGGTTGTAAATGACTGATGAGCCCGCAGCACAATTTTTTTTCCAACAGCAGGAACTCTGCTAAACCAGAAACCTGAAAGCACATATTTAATTTCATATTTAAAAATTGCTACTTCCTGTCACTTTTTGTCGAAACAACAATATTTACTTTGGTTAAACGCTCCCAGCACGGCATCATAAAAACAGAGCCTCAAACATCTTCTTTCTGAAAGCAGTAATTGTCACGTTGCGGCAAAAGAAATTAGGCAAAAGTGAAACAATGGGGGGGGGGGGGCAAAAGTGTGTTGCAAAAAGCAAAACCCGAGTTGAATTTGATTTTGATGTTTCCTCAACTGAGCATTCACTCATGTGGAATGCTGACATCTATCGTGACATCGCACACATGTAAGCTTTTTCACATTCCCCCCCACCCCCCAAAATGTTTGCCGATTTATGAATTATATTATGTTTTTGTATGACCTTGTAACACTCTATTTTGGCCGTGAAAATGATCTCATCATACTGTACTTTGATACATATTGATGTCTGAGAAACTGAAAAACAAGACAAAAGGGTTTTTTTCCCCCTCGTCCTACTTGCAGGATGCATAAAATGTTATGTGGTAATACAAAAAAGTGACAGAGATATTATATTTAGAATAGTTTTTGAGAAGCTTAACATTCAACAACAAAAAAAAAATCGTGTCTGTCGTGTATCAATTATTAATCGCAAACGCTATTGTGACCTCTCTGTCCCTCTTATGCTATTTATAACCCGGCGAAGAGATGGATTCACCTGCTGGAAGGGGGGGGGGGGAGCACTTTCACATGTAATTTGGATAAAAGTACTTTTGCCCAATTTCCCAGATTGAAGCAACCTCATCATCTTGTGCGGATAATTTGCGAAGATTAGCGTGCTGATGTGAACGCGCCGTGCTGCCCGGGACGCCATGACACATTCTGCATAATCAGCAATGTCATTAGTGCGAGGCGAGGCTCGCCGCGAGTGGGTGTGAAATAAATGTGGGACACTTCTGTTACAAAAGGGGTTATGTTGCGACCGAACGGGAAAGCATCGGGAACGTACGCTCAACTGACCTGAACTCAACTCTATGTCCTGTTAATAACCTCGATAACCGAATTGTCGCGTCATTTTTTTTTTCTTTTTTTTTTTCCTGTGTTTGCTGTTTAACAGATGACACAGACAGACGGACAGCACCTGTGGAGAATGAAACATTTCAACAAGCCCGTTTACTGCAACGTGTGCCACTGCATGCTACTGGGTCTCAGGAAGCAGGGCCTGTGCTGCACCTGTGAGTAAGCGCAACCCGACAGCGTGTTTGCATACACGGAACCGGAGCGTCCGTTAACACGCCTTCTTGGTGGTCTTATCTACAGCCGTGCTGGAAATTCCACATTAGTAGCTTTTACTCGATATCCGAGCTTACTTTTACACCCTTCATTTTTAACCCTTACATGCACAAATAATGATAACCTACATCAGGATTCTTTACTCAAGTGTCTTTAGGCATGGAGAAAAAAAATAATGGCAGTGGCTGGCAACACACATAAGGGTCCATTGTAGTGGTTGATGCACAACTGTGACATTAAGATGAATTAATTGAAGCGAAAACAACATTTGAATAGCCGTCCACTCTGGTAACCGCTGTCCCTGAAAGGGTTAAAATATGATGTCAGTACTTTTTACTCTATGGATCTTGCTTAGTAAAGCCCATGCAGAGTGCAATAGGGTGTAAAATAGGCATAAGTACAGAGAAGTAAAGTCGAGCACAATGTAAATGAACAAAAGAGAGAAAGCCAATTGTCTGTTATTGTACTTTTGCTTAAATACGGGAGTTGAATCAGCACTTTATGCTTTTACCAGTCGTGTCTTTACACAAGTATCTGTATTTCTACTTAAGTTCAGAGTGCGTTCAGAATACTTTTGTCACCTACAATCGACAGGCTGCAAGTACACAGTCCATGGCCGATGCGCGAATAGGAATCCAGCCCCCTGTGCCAGAACCTATGTGAAGTCCAAGAAAGAAACAGGGGTACGCTACCGTCTTCATGGAAACCTGAACGGACTGTGTGTGATTTTGTTTTTCTGCCCTTGTGGCCACAAATGAGACTTTCCTCTTTTCAGGTTCCAGCGCACGACTGGGTGAGTGGCAATTGTGAATCAAGGAAGTGCGACAAGTGCCAGAAGAAGATCAAGAGCTTCCAAGGCCTGACGGGCAAACACTGTGTGTGGTGCCACTCCATGGTGAGGAAGGCCTGCGCATGAGTGACTCATGCTGGTTGGGGTTGAATAGTTTATGGTTGATCAAGACATAAAAAACTGTGGTCAATTGTCCAACTTTGGTTGGAGGAGGCCTCCTTTTTTTGCCCTCCATAAACGCATGCTTGGATGAGTTTTGTGTGAAAGAAAAAATCTGTCAAACACCTTTGTGGTCATCAGAACAGAGATTGGAGATGTCAGAGAAAGCGTGTGTGTGTGTGTGTGTGTGTGTGTGTGTGTGTGTGTGCGCGCGCGTGCGTGCGTGCGTGCGTGCGTGCGTGTGTGTGTGCGTGTGTGTATGTATGTATATATGTATATGTATATATGTGTATATGTGTATATGTATATCTGTATGTATATGTGTATGTATATACTGTATATACGGTATATATGTATGAAACAATTATGTTTTAGTCTTGCTGAAACTATCATGTTTTACTGCTCGGCCAATTTGTTACTGTGACGACTTGGGGCATATCTCTGAATGGTTGCAGTTTGGTCCCAGAATAAAAAAAAAAATGACTGTGAAGTGTGAAGCACATGTCAGCCCCGAAGAGAGAGTGTGGCTTCGGTTTTCCCTGATGGAGTCAGCAAGTGTGTGGATCCAAGTTTTGGGGATGTCACCGAGCAGGAAGACCAAATATTGTCAAAATAATGCGAATCTGTGCACCAAGAAAACTCAAAGAATTTCTGCTTGCCTTTTGGCATTAACATAATGTCATGTACTATGTCATGAGCGGCGGTTGTTTTGTATATTAGCCCTATTGTTATATAACAGTTGGTCTAAGTTCCGAACGGGGACTAACTCATAGATGCATTTTCAGGAATAAACGAATAATGATGATCTTAACTAGACTCCCAACTATTTGTATGCAAAACGTCAAAATGTTAATTTATATTTGTATTTATATTTGTATTCCTCTTTCCCAGGGAAATGTGTTTTGTGAGTTGTGATTTTAAAGATGCAGATCCAGGAATGACGTTTCTCTCAATTGTTTTTCTCTTTGACATTGTATTGCTCTTCCCAGCGCCACGACGCGTGTGCAGACGAAGAGCCGAGCGAGTGCACGTGTGGCCCACTTCGAGACCACATCCTGCCTCCGTGGGCTGTCTATCCTGTCATCAAGGTGGATGGATGGATGGGTGGAACAATCGATCTATCGACCCATATTAGATAATCATCTAATGTCTGTCATCATCAATCATCTAATCAACATTTACTTTCCGTGTTCTCTGTGGGATGAAGGAGCGATCGAACAATGGCTGCTCCGGTCAGATGGATGACGCTGAGCTCAATACAACACCTGATGGACAAGTCCTTCAGGTACGTATACTTGAAATCTCGTGAAATGATTGGAAAGCCGCCAATGTCCTCTTAACTTATTTCTGTGACAGATCAGCCCCGTGCCCAATACGCACCCTCTTCTTGTGTTTGTCAATCCCAAAAGTGGAGGCAAGCAGGGGGAAAGGTGAGCCTCACCAACAAACATTTTTATTGATGCATCTTTTGTACCCACGTTACGCAAATTGTTCCATGTGATGATTACAACTACAGGAAGACAAAACATGATAATGCCTCAAAACTTGACGACAAAGTCATGTGAATAGATTATAAATGTTAAAAAATCAAAAAGCTGGACTGAAAAAAAAAATAGTTCAAATCAGTACATTACAAATAATTTACCTAAACAAAGCTTGACGAAAAATGGTTCCTCATAAGCCATCTTAATATATATTTTTAAAAATCACACATCTTTCAAGTTAATTTTTTTATGCATTTCAGGGTCCTCCGTAAGTTTCAGTATTTGCTCAACCCTCGGCAAGTGTACAACCTTTCCAACGGTGGACCGGCTGCAGGGTGAGTGACTGCTGCTAGAAAAAAAAAATGATGCAAAGACCCTCAAACAACCGCTGTATTTGCAACAGCTACGTTCCCATAAACTACTGAGAACAATTTGGGCTACTGGGCTTTTTAGTGAAACTTCAGGATGAACCAAAAATGCACAATAACCTTTACAGTTGAACCTAATTTGACCTTGTCTAAACTTTTGACCGTACATGTCCAACTCTTCAATGTTTCGATCCTTTGTATAGAATTTGCTGTTCAGCAACAAGGTGCTGAAGAACAGCAAAACTCACAATATCTGTTTCAACAGTTGGGACTGGTACACAACTTCAGAGGTCAAATGAAGTCCACCTGTAAAAGACATCATCAATTTTAGATTCATCTCAATGGCCCTTAACTTTTTATAAGTTGTGTGTTGTTGTGTTTACGTGCAAATAAAGTTGTTGTCTCTTGATCAGCCTGAGTTTCTTCAGAAACCTTCAGGATTACAGGATCCTGGTATGCGGCGGAGACGGCACCGTCGGCTGGATCCTGGATGCCATCGGTGAGCTCGACGCACAAAATCACTTGCAAATGGGAGACCCAGTAGAGCACGGACCTCCGCCGAGGTCAAACGATTGTTTTTGGAGTGTGCAGCAAATTATTATTTGTCTTTTTGCTTCTTTTGTGTATCCTCCTACTTTTCCTACCCAATTCAGACAAAGCCGGTCTGCTGGTGCGGCCGCCGGTAGCCGTACTTCCTCTGGGCACAGGAAACGACCTGGCGCGATGCCTGCGGTGGGGAGGAGGTGGGAACAAATGATACGTTACAGCAACAATCAGATGTGGCATTTGTGACAAGATGCTCATACAAAGCGTGGCAAAGAAGACTACCGTATTTTCCACACTAAAAGGCGCACTGGATTATGAGGCGCACCTTCAATGAATGGCCTATTTCGTCATTTTTTTCATATATTGGACGCACCGCATTATAAGACGCAATCTACAATGCATCCACTAGATGGAGCTACGCTCAAGGAAATGCCAACAGAACACTACACTACACCCTGATTTATATAGCGACGATCAGATGTCAGTAAAACTTATTTAATAAAGCAGCGACACGGTTCACTTAACCAACAGCAAGTTATAACATTGACTCGTTAACGTTGAACTCTATTGCCGCTGCTCTGTTTCCGTGTTCAACTGCGAAACCGATCGTCTTAAGTTCGTTGTAAGCATGTCTCTAGCAGGGAGACATTTTGGGGTTGACATATTACCGTAATGACCATACACAAGGTGCATCGGATTTTAAGGCACGCTGTGAGCATTTAAGAAAATGGAAGGCTTTTAGGTGCGCCTTTTAGTGCGGAAAATATGGTAGTACTCAAGTAACCACTAGTCCACCGTCCCCTCTGCAATTAACCCTTTCGGGGACAGCGTTTACTACAGTGGACAGCTTGCCATGTTATCGGGTTACAGGGGGCCCGAAAGGAGCCTCAGCAAATGATTTATCATATCAAAGCACGCTACAACGTCACCCCTCAGGATACGACGGTGAGGACCTGAATAGGATCCTGAGGGACATTGAGGGAAGCTCTCAGGTTCTGATGGACCGCTGGAGCGTGCAGGTCATCATGGAGGAAGGTGAAGAGAAGGGCGACCCGGTGCCATATGAAATCATCAACAACTACTTCTCCATCGGAGTGGTGAGTCCCCACAAAGCCTTGTGTGTGTCTGTGTGTCTGTGTGTGTGTGTGTGTGTGTGTGTGTGTGTGTGTGTGTGTGTGTGTGTGTGTGTGTGTGTGTGTGTGTGTATGTCTCTGTGGCTCACTGATGCGGATTTGTTGCGCCAAAAGGACGCCTCCATCGCACACCGCTTTCACACCATGCGAGAGAAACATCCTCAAAAATTCAACAGCAGGTACAGACTGGGTGACATTTTTGAGAATATCTCACTTTGCAAACCTCTTGAGTGTTTCTGGGTTTTTTTTTTTGCGTGTGTGCAGAATGAAGAACAAGCTGTGGTATTTTGAATTTGCCACTTCTGAGACCATCTCAGCCTCTTGCAAGAAACTGAATGAAAGTCTAACGATAGAGGTGAGACAGCAATAACGCAACAACAGCAACACATTTGTTGATTTTGTCTTCTGTCGCCAGTGTTGCGGGACACCTTTGGATCTCAGCAGCCTGTCTCTGGAGGGCATCGCTGTTCTAAACATTCCCAGCATGCATGGCGGTTCCAATCTCTGGGGTGAGAGCAAGAAGGGGGACGTTAAGGGGTCGAGCAGTCAGGACGAGCCCGATGTGATCGTGGACCCCGAAATCCTGAAAGTGACCGGCCAAGGTATTTGAACTCTTGATGGTCAAACCAGAAGAATAGAATAGGATTGTGAAACAACAGGACATAACATTAGGTACAGCTGCACAACCTATCCATCCATTCATTTTCGATGAGGAAACACTCATTCTCATTAGGGTCACAGGTGAGCTGGAGCCCCTCCCAGCTAAATTTCATGGACAATTTAAGAGTCTTCAATGAACCGAATGTACATGTTAGCATGAAAGCCCCATGCAAGTGCTCCAAGAACATGAAAACTCCGCCCGAGAAGGCTGACGCGGGGTACATACACCCTGAACCAGTTGCCAGCCAATCGCAGGGCACACAGAGACGAACAACCATCCGCGCTCACAATCACACCTTGGGACAATTTAGAGTCTTCAGTCAGTCTGCCATGCATGTTTTTGGAATGTGGGAGGAAACCGGAGTACCCGAAGAAAACCCATGCAGGCTTGGGGAGAACATGCCAACCCACAACCTCTGCACTGTGAGGTCGACGTGCTAATCACTGGACCACCGGGCCGCCCACTACAAAATCTAATGAGCGCCAATTCAGGAGTTGGATCATAAATTCTGCTTTTCCAAAAGGTGGCAGCAAAGTAGCATTTTTGCAACCACTACCAGAAAATGGTCACTAGATGGCAGCAAATGACGATATCATTGCTTGACGACCCAGTGTGGTCACAAGCAGCCATGATTGGCCATGTATCACACTAACACAAAGCTGTGTTTAAATGGAAATTGTAGAATGCCATATTTTTGTTCTTTAGCTTTGCATATTGGTGGGCATGCTGCATTCTGGTTCAGAGAGGAAAGTAAATTAAAAGCGTAAAAGATGAGACTCACGCATGGTGGTCGCGATCCAATCTCAACGCACATCTAGACACAAGCATTCACACGTAATTGGAGTATTCCATGAACATATCGTATGTTGTTGGAATGTGTGTGTGTGTCGGGGCGGGGGGGGGGGGGGGGCTGTTACGGGGAGAAAATGCAAACTCTACACAGGAATGCCAGAGCTAAGATTGATAACCAAGAGTGCACAATATTGTTACAAATACTTCCCTGAGTGAATAAAAAAAAACTCTGAGTACTTTGATATTTTTTGTTCCTGTGATTGTCCAGATCTGAGCGACCGTAGACTGGAGGTGGTGGGCCTAGAGGGCGCCATGGAGATGGGACAAATATACACGGGCCTGAAGAGCGCCGTGAGGCTGGCGAAGACAGCGCAGCTCACCATCAGGTGGGGTCAACACAAGAGACACATTCAGACTTATTATTGGGAGCTGACAGTTTCGGTTCCCTTCTTTTCAAACATGAGTGACTTCCTGACAAAAGGTTTGCAATGCTGAAACGTGTCAGGCTTTTTCATTTTTCCAAAGGGCAACCTCAAGCACATAATTTGAGTCCTAGAAGTGCTCCTCAACATACATTTTGTCAAGATTAGCGTTGATTAGAACACAGAACTCCACTAAGGTCCAACTATAAACAAATGTGTACATGTAGATGTTTGGTTCTCACGCCATACAGGTGGTATTCCACAAGCAGGGGCAGGTTGGCCATCGGGAATTTGGGGAAAATATGTGAATTTTTCCAAACGTCCGGTGTCTTTCCGGGTTATCACGGCCGCCAGTTGACGTTCAGCGGCGGTAAAAATTATCTGTTTCCGATTTGATTTGTTTCTACTCAGGACCAAGAAAGCGTTGCCGATGCAGATCGACGGAGAGCCGTGGATGCAGCCGCCCTGCACAGTATGTACAAACATTTGGATTGTCAAACTGTCTGGGTGGGGTTTATTACTGTTGTTCTTGTAATGAAATGTTTGCGTTGACTTTTCAGATTCACATCACGCACAAGAACCAAGCGAGCATGCTGATGGCTCCACAGGCCAAAGCATCCGGATTCTTCAACTACAAATAAAAGCAAACGTTCTGTCTCCAGGCAATATTGTAACTTCTAAAAAATATATATACACATTCGTAAAATGTAAATTCCAGAGCTACAAATGGACATCTGCTGTTTTTGAAGACTGACATGTCCGATCACTTTGGATTTGTCTTTTCTGTTGAAACAAAACTTACAAACTATTATACGAGTACCACATGGAAAGAAAGCACTTACATCAACATCGTATGCAATCGGAGATGAAAGATTCAGAAAATAATTTAACCATTTAATTTTGTGGTTTTAAAGTGGTACATTTCCAAGAATTCCAACAAGTACACTAGAATTTTAATTTTCCTGAATTCAATTTTCCTTAAAATATGAATTACCGCTCTACTCTGTGTACTTGATTATTGTATATAACCGACTGACATCTTATAAGGCTTTAACATCACGCAGTGCAGATTATTTGCGTGATTGTGAGATTAAAAAAAAAAAACAACAACAACAAGACAAAGAAGAAGCTCTTATTCAATACAATCAACGCCTCCAATGCTTCAGGTCGACTGCTGTGTAGGAATGTAATGTTAGTTTGCTTTGAGAAGGAGGAGTGCTTTTTTGATTGCTTCTGCCTAAATTGGGGAGACACACTGGGAATTGCACATTCCTAGTTGTTGTACTTGTGGCTCAGAAGTATATTATAATGAGAATGTAATAATAATATTGATGACAATGATGATCAATGATGGTAATAATAAGAATCATAATACATTTCAAAAGGACCATGAGCTAAAGATTGAATGTGGCCGAAAGAATTGTAATACTATGGTACATTTAAGAGGGAATATCTGAGAATATGTGTGTGTGTGTGTACGTGTGTCTGTCTGTCTACTGCCTCATGTTAGCGGGACGCAAGGCCATTAGACTTAGCCTTCAATTATCACCAATATGAGACAAATCGTTCAGGTGAAAAGGAGGGTGTTTGTGTGTCTGCCATGTACCCCTGTACCTAAAGGTTTTTTGTAAAGGTTTACGTCACTATGTAAACGCTCCACGGAGTCAAATAATTTCAGTATACCAAGAGCGTGTTGTGACGACAGTGTGTTTGAAGGGACAGAATGTGCAATCAAGGAAATCGTGCCGTTTACTTTTCTGACACAAGAGGGTGCCATTACTTGTGTATTGTTTTTTTTTTCATCCCTAGTTCTGCTTTAGCTCAAAATTTGGATTAAAGACATCAATCTTTTTACAGTATTAATGTTGTACAAATATTGGCGCTACCCTCATTTGCTTTTAGTTAATAAGGAATAATTTATACATTATAAATAAATACTGTACTCTTACTATAACCTCTTCCGTTGCCTGCCTTCTATTTGCTCCATTCATGTTGGTCTTGACTCCTGATAATAGGAACAAAATTAGATCAATTCTTCTTTTACTTTGAATTCAAGAGAACGGCACAGATCGGAATATTAAATTTAAGGAAAGTTGGTGGAAATAACTCACTTGCACTCCAGTACTGTATTACCTGCTTGGTTGCTGTAGTGACGTCATTAATTTTGGATATGTTTGGTGTCCCTTGGATTGTAGAGGAACAGAAGGTGAGAGTCGACATGTGACATGCAACGTTTCGAGGTTCTGAACATTGGCATCAGCGTAACAGTACGTCGTCGCGTGACACATTAAAAAAATGAAAAGAAAAACAAAGACTGGCAAAAACGCCTACCGCACAACTTCTGCAGTGTGGGGGATCCCAACAACAAAGATGGCAACCATGCTCAAAGATTAAATACACGTCCCTTTGACGGGTTGCTTCATGTAATTTATGCACGTGATAAGCAACATAATGCTCAGACTGGTACCAACCAGTCTAAATAATAAACAGTAAAGCCCCTCCATGGTTTTATTTCATATTCTAAAATGTACAAATGTATTTTTCTCAGGCCTCTATGTATTGGTAAAGTCCCCCTCGAGCCCAGGGAGAGAACAAATCCTGGAGCCGTCCCTGATGTTAAAACAAAAGTTGTAAGGGGGCATATGAAAGGCAGGTCCAAAAGTGAGGTCCCCAATTGCCCGCCCGGTTCTGCCACCTCCCAAAAAGAATACTTAAAGTTAACTTTTGCGTTCAATGAGGTGTCGAGTCTCCGAAAAGTCCGGGGTGTCCCCAACGCCACACCTCGGATATTTGCCAACAGCAATTGGGTATCCTTTCTAATCAAGCCCCGCCCCCTGCCTTTGCATCCCTCCCCGAGACAAGTTGAGGGCAAAACACTCACGAGCGCGCGCGCTGGCACGCAAGTACTTCAACGTTTGTCGCCGTGGTCCGAGTTCTCCGGCGGGGCATTTTGGGTGGACTTGCAACAAATCTTTTTGGAAGCGGCATGACGTTCCGGAGGCTGAAGATGGTCGAATCAAACGGACCGGACAGTGCGGCGGCGTCTCTTCCGGACAACGATGTCTATTTCCCGTCGTCCCAGTCGGACAGCTGCCAGCGGACGGCGCCGCTCAAAAACGACTCCTCTGAGGTTTATAACTACAAGACGCTGGCTTACTCCGGAGGCACTCTGCCCAGAAACTTGAGAAAGGTAAAGTAATCACCTGTTGAAAGATTTAAACGGCTGTCAATTGTCGGCTGCATAGAAATGTTTGATTCGAAATTCAAAAGGAGTTAGCTTGCTGCCGTTAATTAACGTATCGAGCTGTTCTGCTGTGTTAAAAACCCCAAAGTAACACTTAAAATAGAACATAGGACAACTGGATCCCAGGGTCACCCGATTATTATGAGCAGAATGCATTATTTATTCATCTTTTTTTCTCGAATGATTCTATAAACGTTCACTGTACATCTCACAATATTTAACCAATTGTATTTATGGCGCCCGGTTAATGGTCACGAATTAAAGAAGTCAGGATGGAACCACCGAAAGATTCGTGTTGTGTGAGTTAAGTTGCAGAGCTGACAGAAATGCTTACACTCAGTTAAAAAAATAGTAAAAGTAGAAATACGGATTCAAATTTTCCGAACGACTTTGCTAAAAATAAAGTGGAATATAGAATGCAGTGACAAGATTTGTACCTCATTAATTTGCACCACTGATTTGATGTGTAAATTCGTAATATTCAGGGCAAACTTATTTGTAAATGTTTTTCTCCACTTGTTTTCAGGCTGTTTTGTAAATTAAAAAACACACGTAACTTCCGACATTACCGCAGGATCAAACATCTACAACAACTATAGTGCTTTGATGTCATCCCAACGGCCTGTATTCCATGCTACAGTGGCTCCTTGAAAAGTTTGAGCACAAACAGTTCCAGGGTCAAACTGTTGCCATCCTAAAATTTACGGCAGTATTATTTAACACGTTTAGTGTTGAATTAAGAAAATTAGCAACGTTAATTCATAAATTCGCTTTGCATAATTCTCACTCGATTGTACTGTATTTTTCTCTGATCGGCCGTTGTTGAGGCTGCTGTCTCATTTTTTAGTTAAATCTTGTGGAAATTCAAAAAATTCCTGGCCTGACGTGCTCTTGAGAACATTTTCATCATCAGCATGTTTTGCCAGCCATGATGTAAAGCACCCCTCTACCGACGGCCGGAGTGACATAACCTTCATTAAGCGTTGCATAACGCTGGCTAACTGCAACATTTTTTTTTCCTGGCTGTTTCCCCTCTCTGGAGCCCAAAAGTCATTTGCGTGCCAGTTGGACATTTGGTAGCTGAGAAAGTTGACTTGCACGTCCAGACTGGAGGTGCAACAAGGGCGCATTGTGATCATGTGAGGGAAGCCCATCCTTGCTGTAGCACCCCCCGTTCAGATGTTGCCCTGTGTGGGTTTTGGGGGAATAATAAATGCTCTCATTGAGAAGTCTGCGTGACAATTCTGTAAGTGAGGAGACTTAAAGAAAGCAACAGTTTACGAGCTGGCACAAAGCGGCCTTTCATCAGAAAAGGACTGAGTTGGAACAGAGCTAAGAAGTGAAGCCTTGTGGACAGATATAGTCTTTATTTATTTTGGTGGGTCCAGTTTGACTTGGGCTGAATGTACATACTGTGAACGACTCTCCACCTTTCTTTCCTGGAGCCCTAATGGTCGAAAAAGCATGTAGAAAGGTGACGGTAGCTTCTGCTGGAAGTAAACAAGTGTGACACACATTTGTAGTTTCATTGTGGACTTTCGATGACATCAGAAGCCTAAAAATACACCCATAAAGTGCACATGTGCATTGGCTTGACAGACCAGTTCGTACGGTGTGTGTGTGTGTGTGTGTGTGTGTGTGTGTGTGTGTGTGTGTGTGTGTGTGTGTGTGTGTGTGTGTGTGTGTGTGTGTGTGAGTGTTTGTGTTGTGTGCACGCGTGAGGTGGGTGTGCCCAGGAAAGGCCCGGGAAAACCCTCATAAGTCAAGAGTGTCTTGACGTGCTTGTTTCTCTTTTGCAGGCTGGCGGCTCGCAGAAATGGAAGCCCCAAATCCAGTCACCAGCAGAACCACAAAGGTAAAAACGTGATGATAGAGCTTGCGCGTGTACAAGACAAGTAAAAAAATAATTGTGGGGAGCAAAGCACATTGATGGGTGCCTCATACACAGAAGAACCTCTTTGACTCCAGGGACATTGATTGACAAAAATAGCCTTTTCCATTGCAAATAATAGAAATGTTTCATTCCGTAGTCTAAACCAAAACAGGTTCTACAGTCCATGTTTTAAGTAGAATTTTAACATTCTTCATTCATTATAAGTGTAAAGAGAAGTTAACCACTGTGAATGGTCAAATGTAAGTGTACATTTAATAATAAAAGCAAAAGGTGAAGCTGAATATGCATCACATATGCGTCTCATGCATCAAACTGTCTTAACTGTCATACAAGTGTGAAAAGAAGTTAACCACTTTTGATAGAGGTAGAGTGGTTCCTTTCTGAATTGTTCCAGCGTAAAAGTTCCGAGCATATCCACCACAAGCTTTTCTGCAATCTTTTCCTGGCATACCGCTTGTAATGGAGTACTGTTAAATATTATTTAACGCCCTTCTGATTTCTATGCATATTTATCACATGCAAAGGTTTTAGTTCATCAAACTAATTTTAACATCACGCAGAGACTACCCGAGGAAATACAAAATGCAGTTTCTAAACACCAATTTAGTTTATTAAGGCACCAAAAAAAAAAAAAAAACTTACTGTCCCTATTGGAAAAAGAAATTGCCCCCTGAAAACTAATAATGGGTTGTGCTACCTTTGGCAGCAATAACTGAAAACAAGCGTTTGTGATAATGGGTGATGAGTCTTTTGCATCCCTGTGGAGGAATTTTGGCCCACTCTTCACAGAATTGCTTCAACTCCGCCATATTGGAAAGTTTTCTTGCTTGAACTGCCCGTTTCAATACTTTTAATGGCACTGCAGTTGTAGAATAGTATGAAACGACACATCACGAGTCAAATCTTTTTGGCCCTGCTGTTGCCACTCTACCAGTTAAAAATTCTGATCAATCTGCCTTTTTTTTTCTTGGATCCCCAGGAAGGTGGTGGTGCTGGAGAGGCTGGACGGACAAACGTTTGGTTTTGAGATTCAGGTAAGAGAAGCTGTCATGGGGGGTTTTTTTCTGTTTAAAATGGCGTCCTCGGAGACGGATGTAACATGAAGTGGCGCACTGTCTCGACGCAACCATACATGACATTGTTATTTGTATGGTTTGGGTGATCTCCGGATCTCCGCCCTTCCTGCATCTTTCTGTAGCCAGAAGGAAATGAACTCAAGAGGCTCAGTTGGGCCACCATTTTGGTTGCTTGACATTTTGACGTTCCTGTTTTCTTTCGTGATGTGCGCCACGGTGCGCGTGTGTTTATCAGGTGGCCCGGTCTGGTTCCTTGTGGGTTCTGTCCGTGTCACAAGAGCATGTCTGCTGTGACTCTGCTGACCGATGCAGCGGCGCACATGAGGAAGTCGCAACAGCTGTTGTCATAACAACAAAATGTTATGTTAGCTATTGAGGTTTTACATAAGCGCAACTAAATTCTGGCCTGATCTGAGACAGATCGATGTACGTAATAATTGACAGTTTGAGGGAATTGGCGCCACACATACAATCTACACTTTGGATCCCTCGACATGTGTCATTTACATCCAAACATAGAATTTTCCATCAAAATTTAAATGAAAATCCTTTTCTCAGCTGCTTTGAAATGAACATCTTGGCTAACCCGATATGAAAGGTGGTTTCAAATAAAAGGTGACATCCAGTATACTGTATTTTTTTACGATTTAAAACAGCCCCCCCAGGTGACTCTTGAAATCATGCGTATGTTCATTTGTGAGACACAAACACACACACAAAACTTCCTTGCTGAAGGAATATCGACTGACGACCAAATGCTCGTCCTCCAAAAGACATCTTCTATTGTTAATCGTCAACTAATTGGACGCCTATGATGTCGTCGTGACAAGCGTCTCAACCGCATGAAGCACAGTCTCATCTTTGGAAGAGTATCAGGGCTGAACGGGTGCCCTCTCTCAACGGATCGGAGATTCACAATTTCTTCTGTGTCCCAGAAAGAACTTTTTAAAAACGCAAAGAAAATTTGCTCTCGTGCCAGGTCGTCGTCATGCGAGCACACACTCAGTGAGATCACACGAAAAGTGCACATCACCGCAAAGTGGAGCCCTTTTGGTGCAGATCTAAGCATTTTCATTTTTTGCCATTAGAGCCTCCTTGCAGTCGGTGCCAAGTATGACAGCACTCTTCCAAATCTATTGCTTGGCCCCCGCTTGGGAAGGACGGAGGGAAACATTCTCACAACATATGTCCAACAAACAAGTCAGACATGCTTAGTATCGTTTCGCCTTGGCGGAGGTCTGCACGCCACTGACTGTCATGTGTTTGTTTATGAAAGTTTCAATGGCTGATTGTTGCGCGGCAGCGCGACACCTCTGGATCTTGAGCCACGTGGTCTGCGGTCTGTTGTGGCTTCCTGAGCGCGTCATTCTCTGGTTGCGTTATCAGCACAATGTCACACGGCGCCAACATTTCCAGTGCAGTGACATCAATCATGTGGCGGAAGCTCCACGACAGGAAAGAGGAACTTTTATTTTTTTCTAGTTTTCAGTCTGACGGAAGGCCTTGTGTGTCTTTCAGACTTACGGCTTGCTTCATCAGGACCAAAACACGGTGGAAATGTGCACGTTTGTGTACAAGGTGCATGATGACAGCCCGGCCCAGCTTGCAGGACTTAGAGTTGGTAAGTTTAAACTCCATCTAGTTATTTTGTATCGCTCATCCGGCTCAGGGTCTCGGGTGGGTCAAGGGTTGCCTAGACTGGTCACCAAGTCGATCACGGGGCACATTCAGGCACTCAACCAAGACCTCAACCAAGACCACATTTAGTCATGAGTTAACCCATCTTAGGCATATTAAGAGGAAACCACGGTGAGGTTATCCAAACTTAATTCAAAAAAGGCCAGGCTGAGACGCAGACGTGCTAGCCACATGCCTGGCGAAAATCAACAAAAAAGCCAAAACTGTATCACTCAAAGGCATAACAACCATGTGGGGTTAGACCACAGTCTCCTTAACTCTCCTCAACATTCTAGTGGTCATAATTGATCAAATATTTTCAAAGCTTGCACATCTTACTCAAACCTATTCTTCTTAGTTTAAAACCTTGAACGCGAACTGTTTCGGACACCGGGACATTGGTGAAAGGACGACTTTGAGGGACTTTAGGAAATGGAGATAAAATCATTCCCATTGTAACTGCTGAAAATCATAAACCCCTTTTTGACTATGTGAATGTCTCAAGTAACATTCTTAATGCTCTTTCAAGTGTAAAAATAAGAGTTAAGGTTCCAGTTGGGGATGAGCTGGTGAATGCTGGGCGGGCGCCAGCCAATCACGAGGCACTTGTAGACAAACAAGCATCCACGCTGACACTCCACACCCTTGGACAGTATCTGTCAGCATTCACATGAAATGGTTGTTGGGATATTGTTACTATTTTTAGTGTCAGTCAATACCAACCTGTGAGTGTTTTTTTTCCACTGATATAAGCTGAAACAGAAATAACAATCTTCCCAAGCTAGTCACTCCGCCATCTACTTCCTTCTTCCCCTCGCTTCAGTTTCACTTCCTAAATTCCTCTAGCATGCTATTGTGCCAACACACAAAATGAAGCCCAGGCAGGGAACTATGCTTCGGGATGAAAAAAAAAAAAAAAAAAAACAGCTTCCACTTCCCCTTAGAGATGCACATGTCTTACCCATATGTGGAATCAAACCATTCAATCCAAACGGAACCAAGTGACAAATGTGTGCGCTGTCGCAGGGGAGACCATCGCAAGTGTGAACGAAGCCCCTGTGGAGGGATTTCAACACAAGGAGATTGTCCAGCTCATAAAGGCGTGTGGAAACACTCTCAGGTACAAACAAGTTTAACACACACACACACACACACACACACACACACACACACACACACACACACACACACACACACACACACAAAAAGATTTTTTTTTTTCAATGAAATGTATTGATATTCCACAATACAATACATCTTTATAGAGTGCTTTCACACCAGCTGCATCTGGAACAAAGCGATTTACGGAACAGCTAACGTAAAATTACAGAACATAGAACAGAAAACAGTCATACCATCGTAACAACTATTCCTGCATACGCCTTGTTGTTTGAAGCGGTTATCGATGAGAGTAGAGAATCAAAGTCTCAAAACGTGCATGCCGTCCCGCATGTCGGCTACAAGCTAAGTTTGAACGTAAACAAAAAGTTGTAGCGTGCATTGACAGGCGCAAAAAATACACGAGCGTGCCGGGGCTGTCGAGCGGCGATAGTCAAATTGCGCAGAGACCCCCCATCATCCATGCGTGCTACCGAGAAGGCGCAACCAGCAACAACAAAAAACGCAAAGCTCCTGAAGATCTCTTGCATTAAGCTCTACTGCTGTCATTTGTAAACGACTAGATGAAACATTAGTGCTACCCGTCTTGAAGCTTCTGCAGTACGAGGCGAGGTGAACCGCATCAGAGTGCCATGGCGGGTGAACACTACAACATAGACTGACATGAAGGAGTTCACCAACAATCCCTCACAACACAAAAACACACACACAGCGTGAATGTGTAGTTCCTCTTCACAATGGCCTCCTCAGTTTCTGGTTTATGAAAAGTGCCTTTGATAAGGCTCAATGTCTTTCCCACACTTTTAAGCCTTTTTTTTTTTTTTTTTTAATAACCACTTCCTCTTTTGGCTGTTAAATCCCGTCGCCTTCTTTCCTTCAAGGCTGGAGACGATTTATAGCGACGCCATCCGGAAAGCCGAGCTGGAGGCACGACTGCAGTATCTGAAGGTGAGCTGCCGTTAGTCAACACGCACACCTGCGCACATCAATACACACACACACACACACCACACGCACACACACACACACACACACACACACACACAGAGGCCTGCCGGATTTCGACACCGCCCCCCCATCCACACCTGTCACTCACACCTGTCATGTCAGCGTTTTCTCCAGCACGCTCTCTCACATTCTTGCATCGGAGCTGTTGTCGCAGCTTCCTGTCAAGTGGTCGAGCAGCGCCACTTTAACCCCCTAAAAGATTCCAGCAGCTGTGCCTTTAATCCCACCAGCCGCCAGCCCTCTCGCACACTAATCCAACTTTTTTACAGATTAACCACCAACCTACTGCATTAGACGCAGTGAAAGGATGCGCATTTCCAACTGTGGATGTTACAAAAGAAGGCACCGGGCATTGCAGCTTAGTAATGCGATTCAGTGTCATTTATCGACCGCCGCTTACATCAGATGTTATGTCATGGCACTTTACATCGAATCGAGCAGATCGAGAACATCTGAAGAGAGCAACTGAACCCCACATGAGCAAGCGAAAGACGGGATAGGAAAGAAAAGACTTCAAAAAAGAAAGAAATCTGGACCGCAGATTGTGGCGACCGTCTGCCTTGACCAATTGGGTTCAGAGGAGGACAGTAGACAAGAAAAATGGAAGCGTTGATCATCTGAAAAGCGAAAAACTACACTAACTGGAAGTTTGGAAGTCTGTTGTGGCTTCTCTTGGGAGTAAAAGGGATTGTCTTGTTCCTTTGCAGCAAACGCTCCATGAGAAGTGGGAAGAGTATCGCTCGTTGATGGTGCAGGAGCAGAGGCTTGTTCATGGTAGGTCGCATCCTTTCTTCGTGACTCGCTCGCTCGTCAGCAAAACTTTTTTTTTTTTTTTGTTCATGCTCAGCCAGCCTGTTTTCATGAACATCAAAGACTGTTTAGTCTTCCGATAAAGATAACATGCATGTTGTTCAAAAACATCAAAGATAAGTTGGTCTTAAACAACCTGATGAATGAGCATTTTCAAACGGCAAAGGCAACCATTTTGACTATTCAATATACATTTTCCGTAATTATCAGTCATTACTAAACCCAACTTGGGTCTTTATTACCAGAGAAACTGACTGACAGCATTTTTTTAAAAATTGTTTTCAACAAAGATGACAATTTAGACCAGGCTTCTGCAACTTAAGTTTGCCCCCGGGCCATTTTTTTTTTTCCTAACACACAACCCTCAGACGTTGCAGTCCTTCACTGAACCTGACAGACATGCTTTCTAGTTCACAAGGAAGATAATTTAGTCTTCAATAAACCTAAACGAGAAACATCAAAGCAACCAACCGAGCAAAATTGTTTTCCTTTCGTCAACCGACCCAAATGGCAGGTTTTTGCCAACCAGTTCGACAGATGCGCCATCCAACCAGCCTCATACGTGTTTTCTTAATTGAATTTAGTAATTCATAGCAAACCTAACATGTTTTCAAAGCCACCAAAGACAATGTAGTCTTCAGTGCACAAGTGTATTTGAATACGAGGAGACCTTTTATGCGTGTTGTTGTAAACATCTGAGGAACTGCGGCGTGACAATTGAAACAGGCGTCTGTTTGTTTTTATTGGACATAAGCCACCGTGTCCAAACTTTATCTGATCCAGAGGCGATCCGAGTCGGTGCAAGCTAACACCGTCGCTCATGTATCTCAGGTATCGTGATGAGCGACGCCTCCGTGTACGAGTCCCTGGAGTCGGCGGGCGTGTACGGCAGCCTCGGAGCGCCCAGCCCGGCCGCTCGTCGCTCCCTGCACGGCACCGGCAGCTCCAGCAGCAGCGCCAGCGTCCTCAGCGCGGCCACCGAAGACGACCCCCTCTACCAGACGTGCTTGTATCACGCGGACGCCGCGGGCGACTCTGACGTCAGCGGGGGCAAAAGGCACAAACAACAGCCGCCGCCGCCGGCGAGGAAGCAGCGCCTGCGGCCCGCCAGCGAGCTCTTCGCCTCGGCCAAGACGCAGTTGACACGCAGCGCCAGCACTCGCAGCCACACGCGCGCGCCCTCGTCTGCGCCGGCCGCCGTCGACAAAGCGCTGGGCTTCGGCTCGTTGCAGAGGAAACACAGAAGCTTCCGGAGGCACCTGCTCAAGTTCATCCCGGGCTTGAACAGGCCGATGGAGGAGGAGGAGAGCAAACTGTGATGTGGCTTCCCCTCTCAAGACTGTCTGGGCAAAAATTCTCACAAAAGCTTCAAGCGACCAAAGGCTGTTTCGCCAGCCGCCAGTGTTCCAAAGCTGTATCGAACTGTTAAGTTTACTTTTCAGTCTTTTATTTATATTAGGTTATTTATTTATTTGAAATGTGTCTGGCTTTAAGTCTACAATGAAGAATGAAGGGGGGGGGGGGTTTCTGTTTTTACTGCATGCAGCAACTTTTCTTGTGACAGCTGACGAATCATTTTGCAACTCATTTTGTAAGTTTGATGTTGACTTCTAAAGAGTCATGTTTTTTCTGCCAAAAGTATTGTTTCAAAAAAAGGCATTTCAGGTTTCATTCCGGTTTGTTTGTTTGTTTAAAAAAAAATAAAAATAAAGAGGCATTTCAGGTTGAATTCTGGTTTGTTTGGGGTTTTTTTACACCAGTGACATACATTGAATTCATTGATGATATCCACAAACATGACACAAAACGAGATGGGAGATACTGCACATACTAGAAAGTGCCACTGCATTCACACATTCCAGTCCCATTGGAACATACAAGTAGAAGTTTGACCAATTACCAAATGAGACTTTCTCGAACACTTTCCAAATTTTGATTAGATGCCCACGGCCGGCCCGCTACTTTCCAATTTGTGGATTTCATTGTGAATGTTTACAACGTTACATTTCTGTGCACATACGAGTGTTGGAGTATCACATGTGCGCTGTGAAATACAGTATAATCCTTCATACGGTCGTCATTGCAAGCGAATGTTGGTGGCTGAAGGCGGGGTGTAACGCATGTGAGGTGTGCAGAATGGTGGCTCTTGTATCAGCGCTGACACACTTTATTGTCAGGAGGAATGTGGAGAGGAAGGCATGACCCTGAATTCCAACCACAACCGCTTTCTTTCTTCCAGCTGCTCATTACACCTCTTCCCAAATTCCCATGGCTGCCTATTTGTGTGTGCATGTGTTTGTGTTGGAGGTGGGCGCTGGAAGGCTTTTCTTTCTTAGCTGACCCCTGAGGTCAAGCTGGTCACTCTCTCGCTTCATTCAGCAAGGCTGAGCCCTTTTGTCAGCAGGTTGAACATGGTGAAGGGACGGACATAGTAAGCCGTTTTTTTTACAGCCAAAAAGGACGACCGTGTATAGTAAGGCGTTTTTAGCCGAAAAAATAATGACCATGTATGGTAAGGCGTTTTTTTACCAAAAAACAATCAGGGATAGTAAGGTTTTTTTTTTACCGAAAAAAAAAATGATCAGGGATAGTAAGGCGTTTTTTTTACCGGAAAAAAAAAAACGATCAGGGATAAGAAGGCATTTTTTTATCGAAAAAAAAACCGACCAGGTGTAGTAAGGCGTTTTTTTACCGGAAAAAAAAACAAACACATATAGTAATTAAAGCCAAGTAGACCCCTCCCCCTAGCTCCCCCCCAATGATTTTTAATGTAAAAATAGAGGTTTAGTGAAAATCATATTTTTTCACAACAGAATTCATGGTATGTGGCCATGTGTTTTGACGCCCCCCCCCCACACACACACACACAAACTCACGCTTACCTCCTCCCATCACTACGTTGCCCAACTTCCATTACCTCCTCAGACATTTATTTGCACATTAACAGAGACAATGCAGTGAGGTGTTACACTGCAAAAACACTAACGAGGGACTGATTGGGCATGTAATGGTTCTCATTGCATCTGAATGGGCCGTTAAGGACCCGCCAGAGTCCTGTGGGGGGTCTAGGCCGGAATACTTTTGTGAATGTTTGAATGGCACCCTGCAGTGAAAGCTCAGCTGTTGACCAAAGACAAATGAAGCTCAGATAAACGTGTGTGGTGGCCCCTTTGTGCACTACCAAAATGACTTCTTGAAGTTTCCCATATTGGCTCAATATCCCACTTTAGGAATTTGGTGACCCGAACAAGCAGCTGTGAGGACACTGGAGCTAACGCTCCTGCCAATAAATTTTAGGTTTTAGGATGTGAAGTTGTGGTGATGTTCTTAAACGTGAGAATGGGGGTGGCGTTGACAGGTTGCGCTCCAAATCGCATGCTTTTATTCATGACACAACTTCACTTTTAATTCTCAAACAAGTTTAAAAAAATGAGTGCAGTTTAAAATCCTGTCCTTGTAATAGCTTTTTATTTCCATTCATCCAATTACTGTACATCGGGAACACATTCACATTGTATTTCAAATCAAAACATCAAAAAGGTGTTATTTTATGTGTCTAGATTTCTCTTTCTAAACATTGGTTCTGGAAACTCCTTCACATCTGTGTTGCACGGAGTTGACCAACAGACACCTGTGAGCTCCTATTCCAGCCAACAGCAACTAACAAAATAATTAAAATGGGGGGGGGGGGATCATTTAAGAACGAAAAAATAAAAGAAAACTAACTGAAAACATGTTACATTTAAGTAAACAAACACTGATGAACATTATTGTGTTGGTCAAATGGTCATTTGCAAATTGTGGTTTACCTTGCTTCAATTACACAATACAAAAAAAAAAACAACTAAAACTAAAGCAAGGTTTATCTAATTAAAGCATTTCCGAAAAAAAAATTAAACTATCAACTTGCTCTTAAAAAAACTCATTAAAACGAACTGATATTAAGCCATAAAAGTCAAAGCAAAAATAAAAACTGTGTTCAATAATTCCAAACTATTACAACCCTGCCTGGGAATATACATCGGAAATGCTAATGCATTTATCTGCCTGGAAAAACAGCTCATCATGAAGATTTTTAACTTTACTTGAATTGTAAGCACACTGCTATAATTCTCAATCTAACTTTTATAGTTGTCAATCCCAAAGCAGAATTGTACTGCAGTATTGTAGATTAATTCCCCAATGTGGGATGCAGGATGTGTGCGGCCAACACTTTCGGATGTCTGTCGTAAAGATAAGATAAAAAGAAAAAAAAAATCATCTCCAAACATGACATGGCGACAGGAGGTGCAATCAAATGAGCAAACAAGGAACAAACCCTTGAACAGTTGACTGTTAAAACAATGAAAAGCAATTCCACACATAGGTGACGTTAGTAGTAAGGAACTGTTAGCTACATTAGCGACTTAAACATTTTCTGCCTCAAGGGTACGAAATCAATGGGAATTTTGCATCAAGTGCCATTAAGTAACATCCCTGAAGGATTTCACTGAAAATGAGAAATCAACAGGGTTTTCGCTGGACATGAACATCAGCTGAAACTTTCCCAGAGATCAAAATGTGAAATTCTGAAGAGATGTCGGCCATCTTGTGTTGAGCACCAATGAAAATCAAAAGGGCCCTTGTTGGGAAATTAAACATTTCCTGACCCGATGGTGAGGCAGATGTGTGAAGCGCTACCGCGCTACACACTTGGTCTCAGTTATTGCTGACTATTAAAAGGGTACGTTCTGACAAAAAATACATTTACTAAATTCTTCAGTAAAAACTTTGACGACGTGTCAAGCGCTAACATTAATGGGTTGAAATGGAAGCTGCCTTTCACTGCAAAGCCTCGAGTAGACTTTTGGACACACAAGAGGAAAATGAAGTCCTGCTTCAGCTTGTTCGATGAACGCCAAGCGCGCTCTCTGATCAATGTCGTTCGCCGTCCACATGTGGAGTAACACATCTGTGTTTCATCCAGTATACGCATTTGCAGCGCTAGCTTGTTTAGAAGATGTCAGGCAACTCAAGAAGAAGTGATGTTCCTTTGTGGACAACAACGTCCAAATTATTGGTAGGGAGGACTGCTGCTTTGAAACAGCTGTAAAAGGATCCATGTCAAACTAAAAAAAACAAAGTTGTCTTTAAATAGGAGAACATTAGGGACATACTGTACAATACAATACAATACACACTGATTTATATAGCGCTTTCACAACAGCTGCAGCTGTAACAAAACAGTTAAAGTAAAATAATGAATCGCCTATATTGTCTACCTATAAGTCCTGACATCTCTCCCCCGCGAGGATTGGCTCATTCAACTGGAAGAGTGGCCCTAACGAGCCGTTTCACGACCAAACGACTGACTTATTGGCATGCAGAATGGTCATTTCACTGACCATGTTGAGCAACAACAACAACAACAACAACAGCAACACTCTCTCGGTGACCACCACTCAAGAACACACCGACCAAAGTATTCTGTATTTTGAGGGACTTGACACCTACGATATTGAACTTGAGAAGCTTTTGGATTCCAGGTGAAATTTCTTCAGGAAACAACAATACAGTTGCCTTGATTCAACCTGTACTGATTCGTAATCAGATGATACAACTACAAATAGCCATACTTCCATTGGGTGGGGAAAAAAAAACACAATGGCAATGATGATTGTGGGCCATTTTTAACCCGGACTGGTTATGTGAGACTGCTCAACATGGGGAAGGTGTACAGATGGTGTTTGCATGTTATCAGGCTGGTTCCTCTTTTGTTTAACGTTTTTAGAATGTTTGAACACGCACACACATACACACACGCACACACCGGGCATTGTGTAACTTTTTTTTCCCACTGCACACAGTTTTTGCTTAATGGGATGATATGCAGGAAACATTCAAATGGATCCACGAAGCACTCAATGTGCTCCACACACCCACAGGCACAACAACAAAGAAGCATTTAAAAATAAAACAGCTAAAGGCTGTTCAAAGTAAAGCACAGAAACCCAAAGTATCTTATTGAAATTAAAAGACTGATGACATTTTAACACCTTTGCAAAAGATTTGAAAGGGATTTAAAAGTAAAGAAATAAAAAGTAGCTTTCAAAAATGACAAAAAGTAAAGACCATCCAGTGAAATTGATTTAAATATGCCTAAAAGACTATTAACTGAAGGCATGGACAAAAAAACATTTACACTTGTGGCTGGCTTCACTTCTGTTGGCAGTTTATTTGCATCCAGCATAACAGCTAAATGCCACTTCACCATGTTTATTTTGAAAAGCAAAACACACATGTGGAGTAAACCTTTCAGCTGCTCAATGAGATGAATGAAGGCTGACAACATTTGCTGACATCACGAATGATGACAGTTTGAACTACAGGCAGTTTCGATGCATCATTTTAACAAATGTTATTTGAACTCAGACTGTACCACTTTCAAAATTTGGCAATTATAGGATGCTAGCTAGCGAACTGTATTCACTTTTTCTTTATTTAAAAATGAGACATGCTTGGTCATACACGACCGCAAAAGACATCCATATAAAAAGCAATTTGATATGTAAAGGTAATCGTGATATTTTTTTAACCAAATTTATGGAACTGTCTTGATTACTGAAGTGGTTGTGCAGCTGCTGTTGCTAATATTTTGGTCAGCTCTCTTAGCATCGCAACATCTTCCGAATATTAGACAATTATCTCA